CCCCGGGGCTGGTCTTGGCCAGGCCCCACGTCCCCACTGCCACCGCCCCACGCTAAGGCACCCTCGGATTTAATGATGGATCAGCTGCCTTTAATAAATGTTTATGTTCAAAGAATTTACACCAGTGCTCACAGACAGCTAATGAGGGACATTTCAATGCATAAAGGCAGTGTGAACACAGTAATTAACTTTGTTGCTGATTCATTTTTAATCATTTAAATACTCCAGAGATTTGCCGTGTCCTTTAAGTCAACAAAATCTTTTCCAAAGGGCACGCTGCCGACGCCCTTCATGCACACCAGCCGATGGTAACACCCACCTCCCTAAATAACCGTCCAGCAAAGCCCAAGACCAGCGCCGAGGGGAGTGTGGCCGGGAAGTGGCGGGAGGCGAGGGCTTCCCCGCACGGCGCTCGCAGAGCCCAGCTCACCAGCCCTGCTGCTGGGTCGGGGCACACAGACCCCAGTGAGCACACGCACCCCAGCCTGCATGAGCCCAGCGGTGGGGTGAGGCCCTGTGGCTCACGGAGAAAGGTTGGGGTCTCCCCATCTCCCATTTCCAAGGCAACTCCTTCCATAGGTGAAACTTTAAAAATTAATATTCGTTTTTAAAACCACCTAATGTGCCCCAGCTGCTGCAGTGATTCCCTAATCGAAAGCTGGTGGCAGAGATATGGTGCCCACTTGGTGACCTTCAGCACTCAGGAGTGCGCAAAGGGATGGGACAACGTGCCGGCACCAAGAACAAACCACACGGAGCCAGCGGCGGGTCCCACGGACCCCACGTCACACGCCAGTGCTGACAAAGGGCGACTCCAGCCACATCTAACGCGCCTGCTGCCGGGGACGCCCCTGGGACACGGTCATCGTGCAGAGGGTGCAGGGCTGCAGACACCCAAAAGGGCCGGGCGCTGCCGGCCGCTGGCCCCGGGAGCATGCTCTGCCCCCGCTCCCTGCCCGGGGCAGCCGGCAGCACCAGCGCCCCTCAAAAAAAAACCCCGGCATCGCGTGACGGACCCCCAAGGTCCCCAGGAACCGGCGTCCCTCTCTCGCCGGCTGCACGGAGCACCCACGGCCACGCCAGGTTACGAGACGGAGCTCGCGCTACCCAAGCGAAGGTTAGAACAAACGGCAGCGTTTACAACAAGGTCACGGAAGACAGAGCAAGAACACACATCTCTGACACCGAAGGCTTGGCACCTTGCGTGGATTTACCTC